CAGCACCCAGGGCACATGGTGCTGAGATATGATCTCCAAAGCCCGTGGACAGCCCCACCCTATGGCCTTACAGGCTGCAGTCCACATGGTTCCTCCCTTTGGATGGCTTCGCCCATTGTGGCTTTCCTCAGCAGATATTCCATATTCCTGGCACCTCTGCCTCCTTGGGATGTCCACTGTAGCTTTGGTTTCACAGCTTCACACACTGCCATCTCAGGGGCTCCTGTCAGGGTCTCCAAGCCTGTGACACATTTGCGTGGCCTCCCAGGCCTTCATCTGAAAGGTGAATACTAATCCTGGTGATTTCTTGCATTCCACATGCCTGCAAAACCAGGATCACACAGATGATGCGGAGGTCTGCTGCCAGTGCAAACAGTAGCCTGTGCCTGCTGGGCTGCAGCTGCAGACAGCTTCGCAGTGCCTAGACAGCTGAGCACAATGAAATGAATTCCAGGAAGCCAATTCCACTGGCAGCCTTTCTCAGGCAGGGGGCCCAGGAGAGATTTTCTCAAATGAACAGTCAACAGTTTTGCATTCTTGGGCCTACAGTGGGTGGGAATCTTTTGATTTGGGGAATGTCTTCAGGTATCTTTCTTTTTGTCCCAGTGCAAAGTAGTTGACTGCCCTCTTTCTTTTCCTGTCTTTTTGAGACAGAGCTGGCCTTGAGCTCACTTTGCAGCCCAGGCCTGCAGAGATCCTTCTGCCTCTACTGGGATTCCAGGCACACGCCACCACGCCTGGCATTGGTCACCTTTTTATAGCACTGACTTCTTTCAGCAACCACATGTGCCTTAGCCCCAGCTTTATAAATGTATCTCTTTTAGCCAAAATGAATAATTTTTTTTTTTTCCAGAACCAGGGATTGAACTCAAACCCTTGCACTTGCCAGGGAAGCACTTATTCTACTGAGCCATCTCCCCGGCCCCCAAAATGAGCAATTTTAAAACTTCTACTCTGCTTTCTGCTTCTGATTCTCACTATACATGGGCATGACTAAAAGCAGTCAGTATTCTCGATGCTAAGCCCCTGAATGTTGAATTACTCTGAGTTTCTTCCTGTAGACTAGGAAGGAAGAAGGCAGGCCACTGCATCTTACTTTATTTTTCTTTCCTGCAGTACTGGAGATCAAATGCAGGGCACTGTGCACACTCAGCAAACGCTCTACCACTGAGCTACACCACAGATCAGCCCGCCGCTTTTACTTTGAACCTCTTGTAAAATCTTGGGACACAAACAACATATAAATAAGGTCATCGCCAGAATGTAACAGTCCAGTTCCCAATAGAGTCCTGCTCCCATTTGAAACCTCGGGAGCACATTCTTTCCTTTCTGAATTCTTAGCATTCCGACGGTCCCAGCTCTACCTAGAATTTCCCATCACGGCGTTCCAGGGCTTCTCCAGTTCCCGAGGCGTCTGTCAGGCACAGTGGCAGCAAGGACTCTGCTTCTGGTGCCATTCCAGTTGCCTTACAGATAAGTAAGAAATGTCACTTTTTTGTGCGTGTGGAACCAGGGATTGAACTCAGACTCTTGTGCTTGCCAGGCAAGTGCTTACTCTACTGAGCCATCTCCCTGGTCCCGAAATGTCACTCCTTGGCAGGCCCAAGAACCTCAATATATTTCGGAAATCTCAGAATTCACCTAAATCATGGGGTGCAATGGTAGAAGGACTGCCATGAGTTCAGGGTCAGCCTGAACAACGTAGCAAGACACTGTCTTAAAAAATAAACAAACAGGGCCGGGGATGTAGCTCAGTGGCACCACTGAGGCCGAGTTTGATTCCAGGTACCAAAAAAAGAAAAAATTCACCTAAATTTATAGGTAGTGCAGGAGCAATCAGACAAGATGTCTTTGGCTTACTTAGCTTCAAAATGCATGCTTGCTTGCTTCGTGTGTGTGTGTGTGCATGTGTGTGTGTGTCTGCTAGTTCTGAAAGGTAGCAAGTGCTCTATCACTGAATTACATCCTCAACTCCCTTTTATTTTTTGTTCTTGTTTTTACTTTTTTAAGGCAATGTCTCACTATGTAGTTTAGGTTGGTCTTAAAAATCACTGTATAGAAAAAAAAAAAATCACTGTATAGGTCTGGGGATATAGTGAGACCATAAACACCCTATAGACCCTTCCCTAAAATACAAAAAAAAAAAAAGAAAGAACGAAAAAAAAGAAAAGAAAAGAAAGAAAGAAAAAATAATTTTAAAACACAGCCAAGCCAGGGATATAGTTCAGTGACAAAAGAGCCTGCCTGACAAGTTCAAGGTACTAAGTTTGATCCCTGGTACCAAAAAAAAGCCAACAAAAAACAAAAAATAATCACAAAATAGAGGTTTAATTATGCTTTTAAAGTACCAAGAAAAAAGACATAACTACTCCACTAATGAGCTCAATCTCTAGTACTGACCCCCAAATTTTTTTTCAATAGAAAACTGTAATGTACCCATTATCAGATTACCTTTGATGTTTAATCTACCTGTAAATTGGACTGGATCCTGAATTCTTTCTCAGAATGACTAAGAACAGGAGCTGCACTTTCCTCGAAGTCCTGCAAGTTGAGACTAGATGATTTGATGTGAACGTCAGGGAAATCACAGTGTGTTGTTTTGTTTCGCAGACGGGGTCTTGCTGTGTGACAGAGGTTGGCCTTGAACACTATGGAGCACAGACTAGGCCAGATCTTCCTGCCTCAGCCTCCCGAGTGCTGAGAGTCTAGTGTGTGCTACCGAGCACAGCCAGATTCCCAATTTTCTTTTAAATGCTAGAGATTAAACCCAGGGCCTCCCCCATGCCAGGCAAGTGTTCTACCTCTGAGCTATACCCCCAGGCCTCGATTCTGGATATTTTGGAAATAGAACCATGAGGATTTGCACTTGAGCAGAAAATGGGGAAAAGAATCCAGAATAACTTCCATGACTTGGGAAAAAGACATGATTGCCACTTTGAGAAACAGGAAAACAGGACAAAGAGCAGGTCTGGGGAAGATAAGGTCATCTTCTTACTCTGTAACTTGGGCTTGAGGCCTGGCTACTCTGAAGTTCAGTTTCCACTCCCAGGATGGTTCTAATGGCTACTTCCCTGCAGGGTGGCAATGAGGACTAGTGAGACATGAACTCGGGATGGGCACACCCATGTCCTGTCTGCATCCTACAGCACCTGTGGGCTGAGCACGTGGCCCGTGAGCCTTCTCTGGAAGCCACCAAAAGACTGTGGGTCAACTGAACCTCTCCAGCTCCCTCCTGCTTCCCCCCCTGGAGGAAGCTTTCTGACCCCTGAAGATTCTATCTCGGTGGAAACTGGAGTGACACTGATGTCGATGGTAGTGCTGGTGGATGGTGATAAGAGATCACCTTCCCAAGGCTTGGAAGTTTCAATGACATTCATGCCATCCTCTTACTGGAGCCCAGCAAGACAGGGATTAAACACATTTCCTGTGTAGGAAAATAGATGCAGCTTGAGACTATAATGTCAGAGAACTCAGACACATAAGCTCACATATGGCGTGGTTTCTCTTACATGAGAAACCCAAAGTGTAAATAATTTAAAAAGCAAAGTAAAAGACAGATAATAGGAAACAGGGAGTCAGATCTTTTGCAAATGGGAAGGGGACCAAGTTATGGAATGAGGAAGAAGGAGGGGAGGGGAAGGTTAAATAAACCGAACTAAGATATTAGGTACGGGCACCAACTCCCCACAATGCACGTGATCATTCTGTACTGCGAGTAGGTACTCATAAAAATAAAATTTAAAATGAATCATTATCTGAAGTAATATGAAGTGTTAGAACACAAAACCCAGGCTTAGGCCCAAGTCACTTTACCTGGCTATGTCATAGGATCCCTTCCATCTGGGGCAATGGGTAAAGAAGAGGGTCCCGGGCTGGGCGATACTTTCCTGTCCCGGTATGGGGATGTCCTAGATGTGTCAGCTGTGGGACAATGCTCCCATCTACACATTCGGGGGGGTGTTTCTGGCTGCAACCTGACCATACTTGAGATCTGGACATACGGTGTCACACACTGTGCTCTCTAGCCCTCCCTCCCAGGTCCCCCAGTGATGAAGTTTCAGATGAGGGGCCTGGAGCCCTGAGTCAACACACTTTAAGTTCCATGTTTGAAAGTGTAGTCTCGGTTCCAGTTCTTTTTTTTTTTTTTTTAATTTATTTGTTTATTTATTTATTTATTTTTGTGTGTGTGTGGCCAGCTCAACCCACCAGGGGGCGGGGCTGGCTGGCATGTGGTGCTGGGGGATTGAGCCGCGGTCTCTGTGCTTTGCTTAGCTTAGCTTGTTCTAAGTAGGTGCTTTAGACCACTGAGCCATCTCACCAGCCCCCTTGGTTCCAGTTCTGAAGTCTACACTGACCAGGAATTTCAGTTCTGTTCCCTCCTCACACCCAGCCTGGAAAGGCAACCAGCCAGCTGCCCCATGTCTGGATATGCCAGGTGCTGAGAACACAGCTGTCGCCATTGTTCCCCCACCCAGGCAGGCCACACGGGGTGGGACTGGCCTGTGTTGGATCTAGTATCGAGGTTGTCTCCACAGCAGGCAAATCCAGCTAGAGGCTACTCTGAGCAGCCCTTCCGAAGGGTGAGAACTGCCCCGATCGGTGAGGGTATCCAGGAGGGCAGGGAGTACAGGTCTGGGTGGATCAAGGGCCTCCAGGGAAAAGGTGACTTTTTCTCTTGGGTTGAGGAGGGAGGCTGAAGGAAGGAAGCTGAAGCGGGGGCTGGGGCTATAGCTTAGGGGCACTGTGCCTGCCTGGCAAGCTTGAGGTGGTGTGTTCAATTCTCAGTACCAAGAAAGAAGGAAAGAAGGGTGGGAAGGATGGAGGGAGGGAGGGAGGGAGGAAGAGAGGGCGGGAGGGAAGGAAGGACAGAATAAAGTGAGGAAACAAAGGAAGGAATTAAGGCTGAAGTGTGCACAAGGAGGGGTGGTTAGCAGAAAGGGGAGGTAGGAACAGGGGTTTGGGTCTAGAGCCAATGTTGCCTTCTCAGGAGCCTGGCCACCATGCCTGCCCCCCTGCTACCACTGCTGCTGCGCACGCTGCTGTCCCGCCTGCTGCTGCCCCTGGCCCGCCTGGCCCGCCAGCACCTCCTGCCCCTGCTGCGCCGCCTGGCCCATCGCCTGGGCTCACAGGACACACGGGATGCTGTGCTGGGCTGCCTGCTACTCATCCTCAGCCAGCAACACCCACCGGATGCCAGGGAGGCCCCCAGAGTGGACCTTGAGGAGCAGAAGGAGGGGCGAGCCCGCCGAAAGTGAGGTTGTGCTCGGAGCAGCCGTGGTAGCAAAACACTTTCCTCAGGAGTGGGCTGGTCCTGGGATCTCACGGCCACAGCCTGGCATGGCACTGGGTGTAAATGGGGCTCTCCTGGAAGGGTGCCTGCATTGCCACCTAAGGCTTCAGGTGACAGGGGCCTGCAGCCGACAGGGACAGCAGGCCCAGTGATAGACAATGTCTACATGGGGACAAGTGGTATTTTAGCTCAGAGGGGACATCTGAATCCAGACCATCTTCCAGACTTAAGAGTGGCCTTAGAAGAGTAAGACCACTGGACACCAGCACATAGCAAGGACGCAAAGACAGCTCAATAAATATCTGTGAATTCTTGGGGTGCCTTTGAAAGTCACCTTTTCACCTTCTGCCCAACAAGACAGGCTGAGCTGGCAGGGAGGGGGAGCACCCAGCCACAAGGTGCCTTTCATGTTTCATGTGTGTGTGTGTGTGTGGCCAGCTCAGCCCACCAGGGGGCGGGGCTGTCTGGCATGTGGTGCTGGGGGATTGAACCACAGTCCCTGTGCTTTGCTAAACTTGTTTTAAATAGGTGCTTTAGACCACTGAGCCATCTCACCAGCCCCTTGTTGATGTTTTAGACAGGGTCTCACAATGTAGCCCAGGCTGGCCTTGAATTTGGAATTGGTGACCTTCCTGCCTCAGCCTCCTGGATGCTGAGATTAGATGCACCACCACATGGTGATAGGCACTTTCATTTGCTTCTCCTTCTGTTCCTACCTAGCTTGGCCCTTTAGACCTGGAAGTTGTTCTTAGTGCTTGACTGGGTTGGAAAACGTCGTTGCTCAGTGACCACTAATTGCTCCAGTCTGTCTAGGAGGGAAGCAGACAGCTGGGGTATGGGGGGTAACATCTTCCAACAAGTTTGGGGACATCTCAGCTACATGGTGGGGAGGATATTTCTGTTTGCTAAGGGAGGGGGGCTCTGGAAATTGGCTCCACTCTGCATGGCCCGGGGCGGAGGCTGTCCCACTGGCACTGTGACACATTTGCATCCCAGTCTCAGGATCCTTGCTGTGCAGTCCTCAGTAGCCATCCTAGGCTCGGGTCGAGGCCCGGGATCCAGGTCGGGAGGACACCCGACTTGCTTCTTCCCGACTCCTGCAAGGCCAAGGCGCGTGCCCGGCCCTCTCCAGGTTCTGAGACCAGGCGCCCCAAAACCCCGGCACTTCCACCTTCCCGGCCACGCTGGCCACGCCCCCTGGGCCTGTCGCGGCCTCCCCTCCTCCTCTTTTTCCTCCTCCTCCTGCCCGCCCCCCCTTTCCTCCAGCCAGTGCAGAGGCGCCCGCGTCCCCGCCGTCGCTGCCCCCCTCCCCGGGCAGCGCGCGGCTCAGTCCCCCTCGCCATGGCTGCAGCGGCCGCCCGGGCCCGGAGGTGAGGAGACGGGGTGGGTGGAGTGGGGCGGAAGCTTCGGTCCCCAGCGCGGACGCGTGCGCGAGCGAGGCCGCAGCAAGGGGGAGGGCAGAGGGGGAAGGGGAGGGGCGCGCGAGGTTCCCACGCGGCCCCGCGGGCGCACGCGGGCAGGGACCGTTGCTGGGCTCGCGCACTGCGTCATCCGAAGAGGCCGTGCCCGCAGTCTCTTCAACAGAGGACAGTTGTCAGGGAATCTGGAGGTGACGTTAGATGACTGCCCTTCCAGCACCTACACTTGGTCCCAAGGTCAGAGACCTGTCCAGAGCAGAGGATAGCAGGCAGAGGCCCGAGAAATTAGACCGGAAGACCAGGCCCACTCCTAGCGATCAAGGAAAGAATTCTTGAACCCTGACCTGACCTAGTACCCACCCTGTGTGCACATCTGTAATTTCGAACTTCCAATACGGTGTGCATTATGGGTTCTTTATATTAACACCGCCGCACAGAAGAGATTGGTTCTGGGGGCATCTGCCAATGGCTGTGGCCCTAGCTCTTTTTATTTTTTTGATAAATTGCTCAGGCTCAGAGCGACATGGTGGTGCATGCCTATAATCCCAGCACTGTTGGAGGCTGAGGCAGGAGGATTGCATGATTGAGCCCAACCTGGACAATTTAGCAATTTAGTGATACCCACTCTCAAAAAAGAAAAAAAGGTTAGTGATGTAGCTCAGTGAGAGTCCTAGATTCAGTCACTAGTAACACACACACACACACACACACACACACACAATCAATCAATCGGGCTGGACCAAGTTTACAATGCCTCAGCCTCTGGAGTAGCTGGAATTACAGGCCTGCACCATTCTTCCCTACTTAACTTCGATTTTTATTTATTTATTGATTTTTTTTATTGAGACAAAATCTCACCATGCAGTTCAGGCTGGTTTTGGACTCACTGTATAGCCTTTCCTAGAACTTGTGGTCCCCTTGGCTCAGCCTGTAGAGTAGCTGAGGTTATAGGCCTGCATCATCTCTCCCTCTTAACGTTTTTTTTTTCCTTTGGTGGGACCCAGGATTGAACTCAGGCCCTTGCGCTTGCCAGGCAAGTGCTTATTCTACTGAGCCATCTCTCTGGCCCCAACTTTGATTTTTTTAAACATGGCATTAAGGTTGAGCTTGTAGCTCAATGATTGAGCACTTCATTTGTAGCACGTAGGTAACCCTGAATTTAATTTGACCCAGCACCATAAAACTACAGCAAACAAAACACGTTGCCTTACAATTTATCTTGATTACTGAGTTTTTCCAGCATCCTCTTCAGTTTGGCTTTTCAGGCCAGACCTATCCTGGCTGTCCCTCATTCTAGCCCTGCCACAAGGACATGTGGTACAATCACAAAGCCAAATGAGAATGGGTGGGAGGCATTCTGGTAACAACCCCCAGGAGAGCTGGGTGAGGATGGAGAGGGCCACCGGGCTGGGCAGAAAAATGCCAGGCACAGGCCTAGGTGCATTTAGGCTCCCCAGGCTCTCCAGCAGGGGGCCCTGGCACCCAACATCCAGCTCTGCCTGGAGGCTGCCCAGGGCCGTGGGTGCTGGCTGGGGCCAGGCCGGGTGTGTGCCAGGTGGGCTTCTGTCCAACAACAACAAGCTTGGCTCTTGCCATCCACTGAGCGGCAAGGAACCAGCCTCCTCTGTCGGCCTGACCCTGTGGCTTCATTCCACTACCAGCCCCCTGAGCACACAACTTGGGCCAAAGGCCACCCACCTGGTGTGCCCAGCAGTTCTCAGACCACCAGTCTGACACCCCCACAGGGTTAGAGCCAGGAAGGAAGGTGGGAGAGGGGCAGGGGGCCAAGGCAGAGGCAGGAGAGCCTTGGAGAGGAAGAGCCAGAGATCAGACAAACAGGAGGACAGGAATCTCAGCTGGGGACAGAGTAGAGGCTACTGGCAAACCAAAGGGCAGCACCTAGAAAAATACCACCCACACCGGTCTTCCTGCCCTGTTTGCTTAGCACCCCAGGAAGCTGTGTGTCATCTCTGTAGGAGTTGGAAAGCTGGGGACGCCCTCCTAGAGTAGCCCACGGTAGGAGCCCAGGCCTGCTGGGGACAGGGTGTGGCTTCATGCCATGTCCCTAGGCTGTTTCTACTGCTAATTGTTAATTAGCGGCTTCGCCTTCTTTAGGGGCCAAGGCCCTTGGGTAGCTGGAGGCACCAGTGGGGAGAGGTGGAGTAGGGGAATTGAATTGGGGTGCTGGATGGAGTTTTCTCTCCTGAGGACCCCTGTAGGTTTTGGGTTACTCTAGCACTAAGAACTTGCTGCAGGAGGAATCCTCTTCCTACTATACAGTAACAAAAGATTTTTGTGTGTGTGTTTGTGGTATTGGGGGTAGAACCCTGGGCCTTGTCATTGAACTGAATCTCCAGAGGCCCAGCCCCCCCTATTATTTGTTTCTCTTGAGATAAGGTCTTACTAAATGGCTAAGTTGCCCAGACAGGACCCTGGGATCCCCACCCTCCTGCCTCAGCCTCAGAGAGTGCTGGGATTTCCCACCTGCACCACCATGACAGGTTCACAGGAAGAAATCTTGTCCTTCCAAGGGAGGTAACCCTCCTCAGCAGCCAACCTTCCCTGCCACAGGCTGCAAGGATGTGCTTAGTGACCAGGCAAGGCCGTGGGGACAAGGGGTCTGCACAGGATATGGGCTGCTCTTGACCCAGCTGTGCCTCGGTTTTACAAAGTGCTTCAGGGCTGTGTTTCTCCCTACACACACACACACACACACACACACACACACACACACACACACACACAGAACCCCAGGTAGTGTTTCTCCCTA